AGGGGCCTAGACCACCATTTTGATGGCTTGGTCAAGGACGACCTCCCAGTCAGAACCCTGGATCCGTCCAACCTTACCTTCTTGTCACGTCTGTCCCCCTTCTATCGTGCGTGGGCCCGGATCACATCGGACGCTTGGGTGCTTCGCACGGTAAAGGAGGGATATTCTATCCAGTTCTCCTCCCTCCCGCCCCACCAGCCCCCCTCCCCGTCCCTCTTCAGGGACCCCTCTCACGAGCAACTTCTACTTCAAGAAGTTCAGTCCCTCCTCACATCAGGGGCAGTAGAGGAGGTTCCTCAGGAGCTACGGGGCAAGGGCTTCTATTCTCGATATTTCCTAATACCGAAAGCGAAAGGGGGCCTCAGACCTATTCTGGACTTGCGGCGTCTCAACAAGTTTGTGAAGAAGCTCAAGTTCCGCATGGTCTCCCTGTCCTCCATCATTCCTTCCATGGATCCAGGAGACTGGTATGCCGCTCTCGACTTAAAGGACGCATACTTTCATATTGCGATAATCCCTCAGCACAGGCGTTACCTCAGGTTTCTCGTGGGCAACACTCATCTACAGTTTACAGTTCTGCCCTTTGGTCTGTCAGCAGCCCCAAGGGTCTTCACGAAGTGCATGGCAGTCGTGGCAGCCTTCCTGCGCAGGCAGGGGATCCAGGTGTTTCCCTACCTGGACGATTGGCTCATCAAGGGCAGGACCAGGGCGCAGGTGAAGGCTCAGGTGGTCTTTACCAGGCAAACCTTCCTCGCACTCGGCCTCTTATTCAACGAGGCCAAGTCCACACTATCTCCAACCCAAAAAATCGAATTCATAGAAGCAGTTCTGGACTCGACACACGCCAGGGCATATCTCCCAGAGGCCAGATTCCGGACTATATCCAACATTATTCTCGGCCTCCAACGTTACCCGACCACCACTGCAAGAAGCTGCCTCAAATTACTAGGGCACATGGCGGCATGTACCTACATGGTGAGACACGCCAGACTCAGACTGCGCCCACTCCAGTCTTGGTTGGCAGGGGTTTATCGGCCAGTCAGGGACTCCCTAGAATCAGTGGTGACGTTACCTCGGCCGGTGTTGGACTCCCTTCAATGGTGGCTCGACCCGCGGGTGGTCTGCGCAGGAGTTCCTTTCCTCGACCCCGAGCCCTCCCTATCCCTGGTAACGGACGGATCGGGGATGGGGTGCACATCTGGGCGGCCTCAGAACCCAAGGCCTTTGGTCATGAGAGGATCTTTCGCTGCACATCAATGTCAGGGAATTACGAGCTGTGCGTCTCGCATGCATAGCCTTCAAATCCCAGCTGGCAGGCAGGTGCGTTTCTGTCCTCACGGACAATACTCCAACGATGTTCTATATCAACAAACAGGGTGGTGCTCGCTCCTCTCCCCTTTGCCTGAAGGCCCTCGCATTATGGGACTTTTGCGTACAGAACGTAATTCACCTGACAGCATCCTACCTCCCGGGGACACACAACGGGCTCGCGGATGCCCTCAGCCGCTCATTCCAGGATCATTAGCGGTCTATCCGCTTGGATATAGTTCTCTCAATTTTCCGGCTCTGGGGTCATCCCCAGGTGGACCTGTTTGCCTCCAGCGAGAACAGGAAGTGTCGTCAATTCTGCTCCCTCATGGGACGCAGTCCGGGGTCCCTAACAGACGCCTTTCTCCTCTCTTGGACAGACGGGCTATTTTACGCCTTTCCCCCGATTCCCATGATTCACAGAGTAATCCTCAAGGCCCGCAGAGATCACGCTCAGCTCATCCTGATAGCGCCTTCCTGGCCGCGCCAGCACTGGTACACGTCTCTCCTGCACATGTCTATGCGGGTGCCACTCAGGTTGCCCCTACTACCGGACTTGATCACACAGGATCGCGGTTGCCTCCTTCACCCGAACCTGGAGTCGCTCCACCTTACAGCCTGGATGCTCCATGGCTAAACCCCATGGAGTTGCAATGCTCTCATCAGGTCAGGCAGGTCCTTCTGGGTAGCAGGAAGCCCTCAACAAGGACCATGTACTTGGCCAAGTGGAAGCGCTTCTCCCTCTGGGCCACACAACGGGGTCAGGCTCCCTTGCTCGCCCCGGTCCCTCTCATATTGGACTATTTGCTACATCTGAGACACCTGGAGCTGACTCGTCGGTTGGAGTACACCTTGCTGCAATCTCGGCGTTCCACCCTGGAGAGGGGGGTACCTCAGTGTTTGCGAACCCACTCGTTGGACGGTTCCTTAAGGGCCTTGACAGATTGTTCCCACACATCCGTCAACCTGTCCCTGCTTGGGACCTCAATTTGGTCCTGTCCGTCCTCCCAGGGCTTCCCTTCGAGTCGCTGGCTTCGTGCTCGCTGTTATATCTTTCATATAAGATCGCGTTCTTGGTGGCTATCACATCAGCTCGGAGAGTGTCAGAACTCAGAGCTCTAACATCTGAACCCCCATACACCGTCTTCCACAAGGACAAGGTCCAACTCAGGCCACACCCAGCGTTCCTGCCTAAGGTGGTTTCCCCAATTCATATGGATCAAGACATTTTTCTCCCAGTGTTTTATCCGAAACCACACTCCTCTGCGAGGCAGCGTAGGCTGCATTCCCTCGTCGTTCGCAGGGCTCTCGCTTTCTATATCGAAAGGACAAGATCCTTCAGGAAGTCAACCCAACTTTTCGTCGCCGTGGCCGACAGGATGAAAGGGCTCCTGGTCACGTCACAGCGAATCTCGGCTTGGATCAGAACCTGCATCCGGGAGTGCTACAGTTGGGCCAATATACCAGCCCCGCCTATCACGGCCCACTCCACAAGAGCGCAGGCCTCTTCCGCTGCGTTCCTGGCCCAGGTCCCAACGCAGGAAATTTGTAGAGCGGCAACCTGGTCCTCAATCCACACCTTTACGGCGCACTACACCATCACGCACCAGGCCAGAGATGATGCTGCCTTTGGCCGCTCAGTCCTCCAGTCTGCAGTGACCTCCGACCCCACCGCCTAGATTTGGGCTTGTGAGTCACCTGCTTGGAATGGACATGAACAATCACTCGAAGAAGGAAAAAACGGTTATTCACCTTCTCGTAACTGTTGTTCTTCGAGATGTGTTGTTCATGTCCATTCCAATACCCACCCTCCTACCCCTCTGTCGGAGTATCGGCAAGAAGGAACTGAGGGGGTGGGGGGTTGGCTGGCCCCTATATACAGCGCCATGAAGACGCCACTCCAAGGGGCGCCGAAGCCGACCCTATGGACGCTGCTATAGTAAAATCTTCCGGCTGGCGTGCACGCAGCACGCACACACCTGCTTGGAATGGACATGAACAACACATGTCGAAGAACAACTGTTACGAGAAGGTGAGTAACCGTTTTTTGTTGCTACATAGTGTCATTTAAATGAGAATTTCGGAAGGACATTGTACCTGAAAGAAAGTATAGAAAACAGTGCAGAAAACCTCCAATATTACTGCATTGTTGTGCTAAAAATGAAATAAAGTGCTTTTGAAGGGAAAAAAACCCTTTCAACTGTTTGATTGCTGAGTCTTAACAGACTACATCTCTAGATGTATAACTCTATTTTAAAACAGAATAAATTAAATGTCTCTTACCTAACAATACCTGAGTGCTGTTTCCTCTTCTACAATACACACCTAAGACTGTATAGGAATGCAGGTAATACCTTGTGTTGCTTTAGGTACTAACGATAACATTAAAAGTTGCAGAAAAAAACAGAATCCTGCAAATTCTGATCTTCATAGCTATAAAAAGCCTGTTGGGCAGTGCACCATGGAAATATAATCTATAATTCTGTCAGTATGAATAAAGTATCCAATTCAGATGGTTGTCTCTTTAGGCTGAGTTCAGGAGACATGTTTTGTCACTAAATAATTTAAATGTTCTTGTGGCATGTTACTTTAGCCAGCAGAGCGTACCTCTGCATGACTGACCGATTTAGAGTAAACTTTGTAAAAGTGTACAAATAAATCTGCACAAGCAAGTTGGTTCTAAACATCATTACGCTTATTCTTTATCCCAAATCTCATTTATTTAGTTTCTCAAAACCTAGAATCCATTGTAATTTTACTGGACCTGGCTCATTTGAGAAAGGTGTTTTCCTAAATGTCCATATGTAAATTTTGCACTTTATAAAGGAAGGGCATAGAGATTAGATGATACATGTATGTAGTCTGTACAGCATTTGGTGGATTTTTCTGAATGAAAAGTGCTATATAAATGTAAGAGATTGTTATGATAACATATAACTCAAGAGTGTGGCTCTACACCTTTAGTGAGCTATACTTTCACATAGTTTTGTGTTGATTTAAATAAATTTGAAAAAATTAAAATTAAAACCACATTTTCTCTTTGATATTTTTGCAAAAGGAAGGTTTACTTTAACTATCACCTACTTTGGCTGGTTCAGGTTGCCTTTAGGTCAACAGTTCAAAGGCTAGAATAGTAGTCTTGGAAATACACTGTTATAACATGAGGTAGTTTGTTTGACAAAAGTAATTCATTTGGGGATGGTGTCCTTTGGGCTGTTCCCATTTATCCTTCTCCTATCCATTACCCTCCAGCCACGTAGATTTGGATGTGGCTGCTCCCATAAAGCCTTTATCCTTGCTTTGACCACCAGGCGAATGGGTTCAATTTAAGAGTTTAGATGTTCCCTCTTTGGCAGTTCAACGCAGAGGAGCAAAAGCTTCACCTTGGTATGTGCCTCAGGAAGATGAACGAAGCCCAGTAGGCCTCTATTATGATTCTATGACCTGACTTGATTTCTTTCCTCTCCCCCATCTCCTCTCTGGTTGTGCTGTGTAATGTACTTGCCACTACACAATCATGACATCGTATAGAGATGGGATAGAGTAACGTACTAGAATACAGTTAAAGCTGGTCTAAAATCAGTTTTCATTGAACAGAATTAAGTGACCAGGTTTTAGATTAGTTTTCAGATTATTTACAACAGTGTTTTAGTGTCAGTAACCAGCACTAAAAGAACATTGATCTTCAACAGGTGGTCTTGTAAAAAGAATCTTGGAAACAAAGAGAGATTATGAGACATCGCAACAGTCAAAGTCTACAGAGAAGGTAATGTGATAATGGGCTACAAAGACTGTCATTCACAAATGTTTCAGTAGTGACCTCTCTTTCGTCCGTGCATTGTTTTTTCTTCCCAGTTTTCTTTTCCTTACTTATCTAGTTATTATCCTTGATTTCTTAAATTCATCTTTGTGTTTCTCAAATTATGTCAAGCTTTCCATATCAGTCTTTGCCTTTCTCCCTTTTTTCATTCTGTTTTTGTATTTGTTACCGTACTCCTTTTTCATGTCCTTTATTTTCATTGTTAGCTGGAAAATGCAAAAAAGACAGGACAGGGAATGAGGAAAATAAGTGAGTCTCAGAAGATAGTGACATCTCTCATTTTGCTACGTATCAAATCATACTCTGGTCAGAGCTCTATAATTGAATTAATCAAGAAAGCATCTTTGCAGCAAGAGAAGCCAATGAGTTTTATTAATTTCAAGCTGCTGTACTTGTAATACTGCTTCAGTTGGGAACTATATGAGGCGTGCTCTGTGTGTTTGCATAGCTGTAATGTTTTGATTCCAGTCTTAATTGTCCTTTGGGCATTTGTAGAGCAGCATCCTGTTGCCCAGCAGCATCCTGTTGCCCAGCAACAGTTTCATGGGCTGCTAACCAAAATAGGATCTTAGGATACTATTAACCTTATAAAGTATAATCAGATGTTGGTTTTCTGATACTGCTTCATGTCTCCAAAGCTATATTGATTGCAGCCAGTACTGAAGTGTAATTAATGTAGTGTGTGTCTTTAGTCTTTATACTGAAAATCCTTTACTGTTTGAGCCTTGTCAAGGTCTTGTTGCAGATGCCCATCAGACTGCACGATAACGTTTTAGATTGATTTTTCCTGATCAACCAGCCATTGAGAAGGCTAGTAAATTACTGGGCCAACTTGATGAGCTAGAGAAAGACCTTGGGAGTCACTAAAATATATGTTGGCAGGTGCCAGTATAAGAACCTAGACAGGTAGACTTTCATGTGCTTACAAGTAGGCACGTGTAACTCCCAATTCTCATCAAATCTCACCTGGAAAGTCCACAAATCTATTTTTACTTCAGTTTATCCTTAATCTTTATTCATAACTATTTTCATTGGGCAAGAACTTCAATAGTGACCTGGGGTTTTGTGTGCCTCAAATATTGGGTGCCCAACTTGAAAGAAGGTGCTGAGCACCCACCTTCTGAAAATCTTGCCCCATTAAGGTGTCTCAGGTTGGGCACCCAAAATCACTAGTCAGTTTTGAGGACCTTGGCCATTGGGTTTCTTCTGTCATATCAGAGTTAATAATTTCACACTTAGTGGCAAAGTGTATGGCTATAGTTTTAATATTAGTCCCAAAGATACCTTGAGTCATGAAGGCTGTCTGATGACTTGGTGGTTGATTCATTGTTGTGGGCAAGTATTTTGGGAAGCTTTTGAACACTATAGTCCCATTCTAGTCACATATCTCCTTTTTTAATTTGATGCAATAAGGCTGGCTGCTGGCATCTTGGTGGATCAGGAACAAAATTCATTAGAGAGTATAAATATCTCCAGATGACTGAAAAACAGACACACCTGAAGAACTGACCTTATGGAGAGCTATTATGGCTCAATAGTGGTCTCTAGTTTCTGTGCCAAAAGTGGTAGTGTTAACCTGAACCCTTCGAAGTGTAATCTTCAGGTTGTCCATAGTTAAGACCTGAGATTGGTATATCTGTGCTTAAAAAATAAACACAGTTTGCCTTGCTGTCTGGAGGCAGTAGATTATGTTGTCAGAAAGGCCTGGATCCACAAATAGACATAGGGGTTGCAATGCCTAACTTGCAGGTGCCTAAAAATCACTGAAATCCACAAAGCCTGCATTAGGCCATGTTCTCCCTATACAATGAATGGGGGAGGCAAGCAGTTTAGGCGCCTAAATCCCTTCATGGATCTAGGGCAGAGGAATCAGGATTTACTTTCTTTCCTCCCCATGTTGGGACTGCCAAGGAGGAGTGCAGTTCCTCAGAGGGAAGGAGCATCTTTATGACTGATGCGTGGGACTGTGTCCAGCCAGCCTTCCTTGGCCGCGGGAGAGTCCCACAATGCGGCAGAGGAAAAGTGAGGTCAGACAGTGCAATGAATGCCTTCTCAAACAAAAAAAACCCATTTGATTTTTCCAAATGGCAGCCCATTATCAGCAGACTTTGCTGTGCCAAACTCCTCTTTTATTCTACTTTAAAACATATTGCATTACAGATCATAGCACATAGAAGTGTAGGACCGGAAGGGACCTCAAGAGGTCTTCTAGTCCAGTCCCCTGCGCTCAAGGCAGGACTAAGTATTATCTAGACCAGGATAGTAAAAAGGCGGACCGCAGGCCAAATCTAGACCAAAACACGAGTTTGAACAGACTGCAAAATCTTTTTATTTACTTCTTATCATTATTATTATTTTTTAAATTATTTTTACCCTCTCATTCTCTCATAATGCAATCTCCAATACACTGTACTGTGAATTAATGAGTGACTGGTTCTCCTTAATTCCTTATTTGCTTAATCTGAGCTATCATCATTTCCGCCTATAAAAAATTGTATGTTCCTTTTTAAAAAATTACTTTATGCTCATAGGCTCATTTACACTGTTGAAAGCTGTAGTCCTGCCTCCGGTGCTTTCGACATTTAATGGCTTTGTGTTTAAACATGGCACCAAAAAAAAAAAGTACACTTGATACCAAAACCGTTCATTTCAGGAAGAGTGAACCAATGCTTACTGTTTTATTTTGTACAGCATCCAGAGGCTTGACCACTATGTTTCATTTATACAGCGGTTTGATTTTATTTTTCATGTAATGCATTTAAAAATATAAGCAATGGGGTATATTACTAATGCACAGCTTACATGAGTTTGTTGAATAGAGGCACTTGCGGTGTGAAAAATGTTTCTCTAGAGTCTGGACCTTGACTACACCTTGACCAAGAAATTTGGACCTTGACAAAAAATAATTGACTACCCCTGATCTAGCCCAATACTAAATGTACATAAATACTATCCCTCTCTTGTTCTTACAGTAAAGTCTATTGTTAACAACAAATTTTAGTGAAAATTCCTATATACAAAGAATATAGGTCGTCTTGAACGAATAAGGCTGTTAATTTAATATCCATTGGCAGGAATGAGCTCTGTCTGTATACAAATGCTTAGAGAATGGAAGGGACGAGTGAGTGACATTCTGCTCTGCAATACTGCGTAATTAGTTACCAGCAATGTACTCTGAACTTGTATTGGATTTTTTTTCTGTACACGTTACCATTCCTAGATCTGTAACTAGATGGTGCTGTTCAATCATCAAATCTGATAAACTAGATTTGGGGAAAACTATCAGGTCATTTAGTTCATTCCTCTGCCTGGGCGGGATTGTTCTGTAGAGTATTTTGTCCTGTCAAGGTAAGCAGTGGGACTTTATCCATTTCCTGTGAGAAGCTGTATAACACCTAATAGATTTCACTGTCAAGAGACTTTTGTTTGGTAATCAGCCTAAATCTCCTTTTGAATAATTTCATTCCATTTCTCCTGATTAAATCTCTTTAAACCGAAGCGAACAAATCTGCTCCCTTCTACCCATTCACATTTTTCAAACGCACATGGCAGTTGTATGCTTCCTCAGTGATCATTTAGTCATACTATATATCTTTATATCATATGATCTCTAAATACCTGCCTGCTAGTGTACTGGGTCTTTATCGCTACTGCTTTTCAGATCACATCAGAGACATCGTTATGATCCAGAGAGAAGCTGTTATTTTTCTGACAATAGAGAAGAACTGTTTGAGGGGGAGATTAAAAGTGCTTGGTAGCAGTATAGTTGAGAGGGTATTGGATTTCAGGAAAGCATTTGCCTTAATTTGAGGAATTAAGAAACTGAACGTGTGGTGCAAAAAGAAATAGTATTAAAAATATCTTCACTCAGGCACTGTAGTAAGAGTACATATCTTCCCTGATGTTGCTAAAACTACTCCTGCTGACAGAAGAACGTTTCTTCTTTCCATCTTCAATTCTTTAGACTTTAAAGCCTAAAGCTGTTACTTAGCAAAGATCAGAAAAATTGTTCGTATTTTGAGTGCTGTTTATGTGCATTAATTTATTATTAGATATTGTTTTATTTTAAAAATCCGATCTATAAAGTGGGTAAAGATGGTAAATTAATGCTTAGGATTCAGCAGTGTTATGTTTTGACTAGAGGATATTAGACACCATAACTTTTAACTGTTAATTGTAATGTAGCATTTATTTATTCATAGCTTCATATGAAATACTTTCCATGCCCACCCTCACAAACATACCTATGCTTTCTTGAAACACTGGTGTTAGAAAAAGGTTAAATCTACAAATGCAAAAGCTATGTAGTGAAAGTACTTAAAATAATATACAAATTTTTCAGGTCAAACAAAGAAGTCACCTTGGAAATACACAAGGTTTTTGCTATCTTGATTAGCTGCATTCAGCCTAACAAATTCCTGAAAAGACTTCTCAAATATATTTGGTTAGAACCTGACCCCTATGTTAAACAGTCAGAGAAAGAAACAGATGTTATGTTTTGTATTCCACTTCATTTATTTGATGCATGGCAAAAGTAGACAGGTTATGAAATAGTTTTTGCTACGTGGGATCACTTACTAAAAACTCCAATCTTTGTACTACCAAAAAAGTTCACTGGCTCTGAAAAAGAAGCAATTCTGCAAGGTTTTTGCTAGAAACAAATGTATTAAATAGTTCCATAACCTGGATAAAGTTACCTTTTATCACAAATGGTGTAAAAACAAAAAATCTTATCACTTTAAGACCAAACCAGTCATGATGATTGTTGATATTATTTTTGTTAAAGTTCCTCAGAATAGCATAGGCTCTGCACTATGATATGGTGGATCCCCCATAAATGCAATTAGTAATTTATACATGCAGTGGTGTAGTCATGTCAGTCCCAGGATATTAGAGAGACAAGGTGAGGTAACAATTTTATAGCTGAAGAAGCGTTCTGTGTAGCT